AGATAATGGGGAATCAGAAAAAAACTCCAAAACCCTGTAAAAAAAAAAATGTACATTTTCGTTTGGACCATTTCATGTCAAACTTATCTTGAAGTAATTAAGTAAACCATGTAAAAGTTGACATTTTTCTTATCAGTTATTTACTGGCTTCCTGAATAATTTGTAGGTTCCAGTCTGTCTTCGTAGAAACACAAAATATCACTCTGAAAATAGTATGTATAATAATTAAATTCAAGCACTCTGTCGCACAGTTAATTGCAGGATAAAATCAGAAGTTGCAGGTTACTTGTAATTTGACCTGACTTTTTTTTACCAAAATCTATGCTCCTCTAGGATTCTTTTGCTTGTTTTGAAGAAAGTGATATTTTGTCATTTACTCTGGTCTTCAAATTACTGAATTCGCTTCAGATAAAATGTTTGATATTTCTGTACAGACTTGGATAATGCATTGAGCTGCCTTCAGCGTGAAGATCCAAGTTTAAAAGTGAAGCCAGATCCTGACACAGGACAAGTAAGATGAACCTTCTATTGCTCATAACATTATTTTAGAACATTAAGACCACACTTTAGTTAGTTCATTTGCATATTGAGTTTTTACTTGATTAAAAAGGACTATTATTTTAGAATTAGGACCACACTTTAGTTAGTTCATTGCATATTGAGATTTTCTTGATTAAAAAGGACTCTCTGAATGTTCCTATGATATGTGTAGAAAACTAAAATGGAGTCTTGGGTACTTGTGCTTTACAGAACAGAGGAAGTCACCCCATGCACTGCATGTTTTTGACAATTCTGTATTTAAAAAGGTTTGAATAATGTAGTCTTTAAGGTTAGGTAAGATTATCTTTTTCATAATGAGCACAGCACTGGTAACAACACTCTCACTTAAATGGTGTTTACGTTAGATGACTTAGAGCAATGTCTAGCGTCCTTAGAATTTGAAGTATTGCGGCCATTAGAATTAGAAGCCTTTCTAAGAGACAATTTGAAGCATGCAAGTCATTGCTTAAAGATTTTGTATTAAAACCTAAATTTTGCATGTTTTTCCACTTTTCTCTTAATTATCTTCTCAACAGACTATCCTCTGTGGCATGGGAGAACTACACATAGAAATTATTCATGACCGAATCAAACGTGAATATGGAATTGAGACTTATTTGGGACCTCTTCAAATAGCATACCGAGAAACCATCTTAAATGCTGCCCAAGCTACAGGTAAAATGAGTGAATGCAAGGAACATCTTGTTTCTGGTTTTGTCACTTGATTTACTTTAAACGATACATGACTAGCTTTCAGATGAATTTCAGGTACTATTTTTTCCCTCCCCCTGCAGATATATTAGACAAAACAGTAGGTGATAAACGACACTGTGTAACTGCAGAGATAGAGGTGAGGCCCACGTCAGGAGAAGGAGCAACAACAAAACCCATCATCAGCTATGCTGAGAATGTCAGTGAAGTACTGCCCAAAGAACTCCAAGGAGCTATAGAAAACGGAATCACAAATTCATGCATTCAAGGTAAAGGAAATGTTATGTCAGCTGTACTGGTCTAATATTTTTGTAAGGAGCAATTTTCTGGAAAGAGAAACCGCTTGGTAGCTTGAAAAAAAGATAGCACATATACGTACGACTAATGTATACGTAAGGTACAAAGGAAAATTACAAAAACTACAAAAATTTCTATTACAAAAATTGCCAAGCATCTTTTTCTCCATGCCTGGAAAGGAAGTCAGCATGCCTTTGGTTTGCTTTTCTTCTCAGTTACTCAACAATGAGCTTAGAGTTCTTTTGGTTTATTTTTTGATGTGGTATAAGAGATAAGGCATTTACTTCATGACATCATGTAAACCATAGTGATATAACAGAAATGGTTTCATAGGCCAGCATGTATTACACTTCTATTACTGTTACTAATGCATTTTTTTTTTGATTTTCAAATATGCTAAATCCATGGGTTTTCAGTAAAAGCTTTACCTAATTGGAAAGTCTGTGTTTTCTAAAGGACTAAAGTGACCTTGAATACATTAAAAGTGTCCTTGACTTTTAATTAAAAATATAAGTCTTAAGAAACTTGTGGGCAAAAACCTGCCTTACAATAAAATCAGTAGGTTGTGGATTAACAAAGGTGAATTTAAGAACCAGCATGAAGTGATTTTTCAAATTTGTTCTGTGGAATTTGAAAGCATCTCCCATCTTTGGCTGTGGAATGTCTTAACCTTGTGCTTTCTTTATGCTTCTTGAAGAAAATTTAGAACTGTGCTGTCTCCAGCCTAAAATTGATGCCATCATGTGCTTTAAAAAAAATAAAAATACCTGGCCATGTTCTCCATTAAAAACAAAGTTATGTTTCTTTTCTTACATGTAGTTCAGGCCTCATATCTAGTCTAATACAGTTTGGTCTAGTTGACAATTCTGGGTTGGAGGTAATCTGCCTAGGACACTATCCTTTATGGCACTGAATTACCCCTGGAGTTTTTGTTATGTGTTAGTATCAGGCATTGCTGTGATTATATTGTGTTCAGAAGGAAAACACAGAAAATATTCTGTCTTGTGGTTAAACAAAAATTTTCCCTACTTTTTCCAAATCATGTCTTGTTCAAGCAACTCATTTTAGATAATATAATGTATTTAAAATAACTTTTTGGGAATGTTTGTCTGGATGAGTATATTCAGGAGCTTCTTGTTCTGAAAATTGTTTGTGTTTTTAATAAAGACAGTAAGAAAGTAGGAGTCTGCATTCCTTTGTCTCTTTTGGTAAAGTTAGGTAATGATAAAACCTTTAAGTGAGGAACATCCAGTAGCCACACCCCTGGGGAGAGGACAGGAAAGGAAAGAGCAAAGAGGAAAATGAGAAACTTCAAGCTAATTCTGAAAATTTTTTGCATGTGTCTTAATATTCTGGAAAAAAATGAGCTTGTGTTTTGGTTTTTTTTTTCCTTTTATCTCTTCTTCATGGCCCTACCCAGGACCTCTGCTTGGATTCCCAGTTCAAGATATAGATGTGACAGTGCAATCACTGACAGTGCACCCAGACACCTCGCACGCAATGGTATCAGCCTGTGTCTCCCGTTGCTTGCAAAAGGTACAGTGAAACCTGCTGTAAACACAGTAGCATGATCTTCTGCTGGGAAAATACATGTGCATCAATATCTCATCATTGTTCCTCTTTGCATGCCCTCATAATGCCCTTGCTGGGGAATTTACAGTATTTCCAAGTACAGAGTTTGAGTCAACTTCAGTGATACAAGTACTTATGTCAATTTTATTTTAAAAAGCCCACAGGGGAGTACATCAGTGTAACTTCCTTCCTTTCCATGTAGGCTTTGAAAAAAGCTGGTATACAAATACTGGAGCCCCTGATGAACCTAGAAATCACAGTAAGTGAAGATCATCTCAGTGCAGCACTTGCTGATCTTGCACAGCGGAGAGGTAATATTCAGGAAATCCAGTCTCGTCAAGATAACAGAGTTGTGGTCGCTGCTGTTCCACTAGCAGAAATGATGGTATGTGATTACCTTAACCAATGATAAAACGGATCTTTTTTATATGCTTTAAGATATTTGGCTTCAGTTTCCTTTTTCTTAGTTATGGATAAGTAAATTTAGATTGGATTTTTAAAATTGTATTTCAATTATTGAAGGTCAGAAGTGTCCACAAGTTGAGCAGCTTTTTCATGCCAAGATTGCTAAACAAGAATGTATTCAGCTGTAAGGTAGAGAACTAGTAAATTCTACTAAAATAGGTTTTGTGGAGAACAGTTTTTAAAAAATATTGACTCATGCATGTATTGCAATTCTGATACAGTAATAATGGACCATTAACTTACTAGTACACTGCAGTATACTTCTGACACTCTTTTTTTCTGTCTCTGGTCTAAACAGCTTCCTATGCTAACTTACCTTCCCCTTATCCTAACTTGAATGATGTGTATTCTCCATTTTGTCCAGGGCTACTCAACAGTTCTGCGTTCTCTAACATCGGGCTCAGCAACCTTCACATTGGAGCTTGCCAGTTATCAAGCCCTGAGCAGTCAAGAGCAAAGTGCACTTCTTCAGAGGAGGATGGGGTTGGTGTGATCTTTACTCTCTAGGAACAGTGTTTTCTATCCTCCTGTTAAATATTTTCGTATGTACGCCAGTGTGTTCGTCTGGGACCAACTGGTGTTGGCAAATGATGAGTTAGCAGCTTAAGAACAGACTGCTTTTAACTGGCCAGGGAGGAAGGTTCAAGAGACTCTGCTCTGCTGGCATAACTTCATTGCAAAGCAGGGATGCAACAACAAATTGTGCTTTGCAAATTCTTATCTTGAGGACATTTGTAATGAGAAGTGATGCAAGTTGTCTTCACAGAAATGAGCACTAAGTCCACCTTAATGTGCCACTGGGACTGTTTTCCTAATCTAGTAAATAAAGTTTGTGGAAGTTTTATTTATCACTGAAATGACTTTACAGTTTTGGCACTCTGTATCTTGATTTATTTTCAGCTGTACAAAAGGATATAGTTAATAAGCACTTTACATTGCACAACTTACAGGTATTGCTTCTACTGGTAGAAACCAGTTATGAACCAGAGTTCAGGACTGGGTGTAATTTCTACCTGAGTTTAGCAAGTAAGTGAAATGGATACTTCTGCAAATCAAGTAAGATCTGTGCAAACAAAATACAAGAAAGGCAGTTTTCCCAGGACGCAATTCCTACCTACCCCGTGGTATGTTGAGAACAGATTTGTTTGAATGTTTACCTTTTGGAATTAGTGAATTAAGCTGTAATGGTTCTGATTTGCTATGGGTTGCAATTATCTGGTTACCTAGAAAAGGGGCAAGTGATACTTTGAAATAAAAAAGATAAGTTTTTTCTGAGTTTAAATGATGTCTTAGCTTTATTTTCTTCAGCCTTAAAGTGTATGGAATTAGTACCTCTATGGTATCAAGTTTCACGATTTCACAGTGAAGAATCTCTGCTTTTGAAAGATTAAAAATGATAATTTTTACTCTAACACGGCTGTCAAATAATTTTATTTTAAAAGTGAAAATTTCAAGTCTTGATTCAGATACGAAACCACACATACGTATTCATATCCCCGAGGCACTTCAGGCTGTTGACAAGAAGTCTTTGCAGCAGTTATGGCCCTCTTGCTTCATGGGCACAGTATCCAACAAACACTGGTTCGGCCGCTATGCCACGGCTGTTAAAATAAAGTGGAATGGGTATGACTATAATCAAACAACTGGCTGCTTGTATAGGCAGGAAGAGAGATACTGGCAATCTATTTTAATAACTATATAAACAAAACTACTCCCAAAAAACAACAGATGGCCTATTTAGGTAGTGAAAAAGGGCCCTATTCTACTTTGATTGTACTTTTGATTGAACCTCTGTTTCAATCAGAGGCACCAGGCTATTAGCAGACACGTTGAAAAGCTTAAATTCAGGGGCTAGTTCTTTTGATGTTCCGCAAAATCTATTGCTTTTATTGAAAAGAATTCCTAAGAAAGGCAAATATAAATCAACTGACATTTACACAATCTTCCCTCTCCCAGCCTGTTTCCTTCATATGCAGCTCTATTTCCATAATTTTCATTATTTTGGGGGAAGGAGTCGTTTCTTTCAGCTTACACGATCATAAATTATTTTGTTCTCATGTGGCATTAAAAACAAACCAACTTCTGTGGATTGTGATAGTGCAGTAAGATAGTACGAAAGACATGTTTCAGAATTAAAATAGTTGTAAACAATATTCTATTTCTCAAATGTTTAAAATATAGCTACTATTGCTACTAATGTTTAGTGGTGCAGTGGAAGAAACTGAGTAATAGCTCAGCTTAAGGACTGCTGCCCCTAAGCAAGACATACTCTTAGCAAAGGCAAGGCTTGGTGTCTGGGTCTCTGGAATATATGCCCATCTTCTTGTTTCCTTCCTCCCATCACCATTTTCTGCAATCTGGGTTGCTGTATCCTAGAAGAAGCTGAGTTTGGATCTGCGTAGTACCTACTGCATTCACAGTACTATTTCAAGAGCAGTGGCCTCAATCTTCAGTAGAGTTCTTCCAGTGACCAGGATCTAGCTGTTACAGTGTGCTACCTACCCCTTCCCCTTGCTCCCTGGTAACCAGCTGCAGAGCAAGCCAGAGATTTTTGTTCACTTGGAAAAGGCCCGTCCTCCTACAACTGCCATAGTCTGTGCATATGCAATGAATAAAAACATTAGCAGGAGCATAGTCCTTGTGTACATGCTAAGACTACAACAGCCTGATACTGAACTCTTTGAGGAAGGCTATTGTGTATTTCATATACATGAAACAACAGCTGCAGCCCCATGGAATTTTCATTTCATCAGTGGAAAGGGAATGGTTTCTCTAGTGTTTTTCTCATTCAGAGCCTGTATAAAAAAGAGTCATTTTCAGGACAACGTATAATTTTATTAAGGTAGTTACTTTCTAACAGGAATTGTTCATCCTAAGTCAGCAAAACAGTTTGTCCTTCGACTACTCTCTGTTGCTAAATATGTGCAACAAGTACAGGGAGTAGTCCTTAGTCTGCCCCTGCATTCTGCATCTCTCATGCCAGCATTACCAGAGCAGCTGCTGTTATCTGGACCAGCTCCCTGCACAGCAATACAAGTACCAGTGTTAAGTGAGAAGATGCAGCTGCAGCAGTGGAGTCAACAAGGTCCAGGAACAGCATAGCTTAGTTCACTGTAAAAGCCTAATCCTAGTGGTACAGCCACTGTACACTTAACTGCTCAGTTGTAGCAGTGTTTTCCTGAGCCATACCAAGAGATGCACCACCCTGCTAAGTAACAGGACATGTTTTGAAATCACTTTAATATTGTTTTTAACATGTATTTATCAACTCACTCTTAATGTATCTGTTTTTCTCATGACAGAGGGAGATAGATAGCACAACTTACATACAGCTATTTTCCTACATGATTATTTGAAGCCAGCTTGAAGTAACTCAGCCAAGTCAAAACTTTTCAGTCCTTCAGTCACTCTTGATTAAAGAGTGACAGTAAGCTAAACATACACTATATACTCTAAACTAAAGTGATTCCAACAGATAATCATGCTAAGACATCTTCATGAACATGAGCAGAGAGCTTGAGTTTCAAGTGCTGACTATAACTGCTGTTGTATCCTGTTCTTTCAAAATTTGATTTGTATCTGCCTTGAACTACTACCACAGAGTTGAAGTTTTCAATGAGTTGTCATAAACTTCTGTAAAGAAATAAAATGTTATGTTTCATGCTTGCTGTAGTTCAACCTCTCTGACTGTATACTTCAAAAGTGAAGTCAAACTTGGACTTTTTTTTTTGTCTGAAATAAGTCAATCATGGTGTTAATTTTTCCTTTATAGGAAAGAGAAACACTGCAGAGTCCTAGTATTTCACTGAAAAAAGTGAGTTCTGAAAATTTTAGTTGCAAAACTGTCCAGAGCTCCTGTCTTAATGCATCTGTCTTCCTCCTCTGTGGATACAAAATCAAATGGGATTGTATTTACAGTCAGGTTAAACTGCTAGCTCTCTTCCTTTCATCTCCAGGCCAGCAATCTATGCCTGTACCTTTATTCCACTAGTTACAAAACTGAAAACCAAGGTACACTGTAGCTACTAGATCTTACCGGAGCATGCGGCATCGATGATTAGTTAGCCTTTTGTAGGCATCCTGCAAGTTGGTCACATTGCTGCTGCTCCAGAGTCTTTCCCCAACAGCACTTGCTCGAGGCCTATAAAGGTATACTAAGTTTTAGAGTAGGTACAGTCTATAACCAGCAATGGATCTTTTTTTTTTAATACCAGGTCTAATATAATACTTCAATACCAAGAATCATTACTTTTCATAGCTGCTTAGGTTCAGCACAATAGCATAGTCCTGTGGGAATAATTAATGCTTTTAAAAATCTAATCATAAAGCAGTCCATACCATAATCTTGGTGTCAGGTTAGTTGCATCCACGAACTCCCCCCACAAGCAAGCTTCTCCACCTATTAAAAGTTTCTTCTGTTCGTCAGATCCTGAATTCAAACCAGAAAGTCAGCATTCTTCTCTGTCCAGAAGATGGGCATAGATCAACAATTATATAGGACTGATGTTCAGTTGTTTTCATATAAAATACCTGAGCTATCCTGAGCATTAACTTACATTTTGGTAGTCTTGTTACTAAATGGGAGACCTACCAAGCCATTTGCCCAGAGAAGTAATTTCTCTGCTCTGTCAGAAAGGATTTTACCTTTTACGCTCTGAATAGATTCCTCAGCTTTTTGACATTCCTTTGAGATTTAAAATCTCATGGAAACTGTTCATTCTATCACATGCAGAACATTCCTTGAAAAAATTACTTAGTCAGGTATTCTTAATATTCTTAATGAGCTCTGAGAGTCTGAGAGGTCCCTCACACAAAATGAAAGCCCCATGGAAAGCACAAGATGTTTGTATCAACTTTAGATACAGGTAGAGAACATGTCTTTTTCTACACTAGTTTAACAATCAAGAAGCTTGACAACATAAATTCAGCGTCTTTCTACAAACAGCCATTTTGCACAACTCTGCTCCTAAAGCATCTGCCCATCTAGCCCAGCATTCTATCTTAACAAAACATCAGTATCAGACGCTTGAGGAAGGTAAGACCTTTCCCTGTGAGAAGTGAAAAGTTCCTTTTTTTTTTTTTTAAAGAGTTTTTCAGGGTTCTAGCTGACCATAATTCCTTTGATGATACTGTAATCACAGTGATGGTATGGCCACTCTAAACAGCGCTGTTCTTTCCATTTACAATGTACTACAAACCAAGGAGTTTCATGCACAGAACACACATATAAAAAAGGTAACAAACCAGGGAATTTAAGTGGTTCAACACTGTAGTATTTCTTCCAGTCTTGCCCATAACTAATGTAGTCTAGGTACCACGGTGCTGACAAGACAGCAGTGAACCCAGCTCCTGTGACTCTGCTCAGTTCACGAGCATAGTTATTTGCCATCCACACCTGAACTACGGTGTCCGGTTTCAGCTAAAAGAGGAAAAGACAAACAAACTAACCAACTTAACCCAAAACTACTAATGGCAATCCTAATTGCTGTTACCAAGGAAAAGGATCATGAATTGCAAAACTCTCTATTTTGTTTTGAATAGGAACATTTAGGAAACTACCTTTTGTCATCCCTCCCCTCCCCACCTCTGCAGTCTAAAGCTGATCAGCTTTTTGCTGGTTTTAAACACTCAGCTACAGTGAAGCCTAGGTTATGCTATAGACAGTTAATGCTTTAAGAAGATTCCTACATGCACCCCGTATCTTACCAGCTCTTAAGTGCTGATCATTTGGTGTTACTAGACCAGACACATAGTTAAGTAAGACAAAAAAAACCCTCAGAAAACTCATAGAAAATTTCCCACCCTTTAATCTGATGTTTTGAAGCTGTTATATTAACTCTGTTCACCTTTAAAAAGCATTTCAGTGCTGGTGTTCCTGTTTCGCCTATTACATATTCAACAAATGATAATTTCAAGGGATTGAAATTACCCACAGCTGGAGAGATTTGCTAACATCAGCAGACTTTGCTTTAACTCTTAAGAGACAAAGCCAGATTTACTTAATAGTCTGCTCTGGAAGCCTCACACAATGTTGTGGTGTTATGCAAGAGTACCTTACTAATTTTCCCATCTTACTTGCGCTTTGTGATCAAACACTTCTTGCCAGACCATTTGTCCTTTGTTGTAGGAGGAAACAATGTCTAAAATGCTAGAATTTAGAAATAAGATCAGGTTTGTGAACTTCAATGAGATAAAGTAGCAGTATTTTCTACCCCAAGGCATATCAGACCTTTCCCACCACTGCAGAGGGGACCAAGAAAAAGCAGGTTGATCTGGTTTCGGAACCATGCTTGCAGAGCATGTTCAACCATGTAGAACAATGGGCACATGCATTAACACAACCCAGCAACTCATACAGGGTGACTAAGTCCGTGTTTTTTAAGGAGAGAAAGAAATGTCTGCAAAAGCTTCCTCCCCACCCTTGTGCTAACAGTACTGCAGATATTAGTTTAAGATACCCAACACATTCACAGTGTGTGTAAAACTAGCTTACATATCCATGCCGTGTCCAACATTTTAAAGCCATGGACTTCAGACCTGGTAGTTTAAAATAAAGTGGATAGTTCCAAATATGTGGCAATTTTTCAAAATAATGTATATACTAAGTCAGCTTCCATATCAGCACCTCAATGCCACCCTCAAAAAATGGCTGTGAAAAACTGAGCAAGAATTAAAAAATCAACATACTTCTGAACATAGTAAGATTCCAGTTTAGCATAGTCAGTGCCAAAACCTTGCTTCTTCATGAACTCTTTCACCTCAGGGTTAGATTTCCTTAAATAACAACAAGAGAAGAAGTTTAAAAAAATATTATTCTTGTTACGTTTTAAACCAGATTTCCCAATCATTTCTACCTATGCACAGCACACTAACTGATGCCTTAGCATGCCACAGCCTGGAACACATTGCAGAGCAGAAGCAGTAGGTTAACATGACTTAGATATTTTGAAAGAGTTTCATCCCGATTTGAAATAAAGCCAACAGACCTAATCTCTGCTAAATCTGATGGAGTCCCTGTTCTGAAGCAGTCTCTGGCAGGCTGCCTCCTAAGAGCTTTGGGGTTCCTAGCATCTCAGCCACTTTGTGCCAAGGTTATCAGCAGTCTGAGAACTCAACAATTTTGTGTTTCTACCACAAAAAGCAAACCAACATATCTGCGCTACAGCATTTGCCAGAAGTTTTCCCCTCTATGAAAATTAAATCATGTCCTAAGTGTTTGGATTTGATCTTTAAAGAGAATGTAGAAACACTTTGAATACTCATCAGAATGCTCCAAATCCTCTAGTATTAGTTAGTTTCTTCAGAAGAAAGACTCGAAAATATTTAACACCCACAACAGAATTAAGAGCACTATTAATACATGCTGTACTTCTAATACAAACACATATGAATCTGTTTGGTAATTCTTACTGTTACCCGATTTTCTGGTGGGCTGTAAACATCTACTTTAACACAAACCATTTAAATGTTAATTTTCTTATCTAGTACTTTTCTAACATAATAGTCCTCTGTCCTGCCAGGGTAGTTTTCATAAAGAAATAATTTAGAATACCTGAACATTTATGAAACTACAAGTCAAAGCAAAATTCTGCACATCAGTTGCTTTTTGAGGATCACAAATTATCTGCCTGTAAGTTGTTACAGAGGTAGGAGTGGCGATCTTCTGGTTATGCAGTGAAAACTATCTTATGCAGCTGAGTTCCATAACTGATGCAGGTGGACAGTTTTAGGAGGCACTAGGTATTTGTTCCTGGAATTATCATCATACCAACAACTGAAGTCCACTTCATCTCCTCCCAAATGAATGAATTCATCTGGAAATACACTGCTGATCTCCTTAAAGAACTTAGTCATGAAGTCGTAAGTTGTATTCCAAACAGGATTTACAGGTCCAAAAGACCCAGTTGGCTGTCCTCCATTGTAACACGGAGTGAGAAGATCTTTTTGACCTAATAAAAACAATTAATAGATGATACTCAGTTTCATGTTGCTATGCTAACTTTGCTAGCAGGAAGAAGCAGTTAGCCATATTAAAAAGGTAAATATTCATGACCTAACTGCTCACCTATTTTAAATATAATCAAATAGAGGCAGGATGAAATAAGATAACTTGTAAAAGGTTGAAGAACTCTTAACTGGCTATCAGGACTCTGACTTTCACATCTATGATTTAATACAATCTAACATATGTAACATGTCACAATACCTGGAAAACCAGCAATTGGATAACTACTTGAACAAAAGAAGCAGCTTTAATGAGTATCAGAAGGAAGCCAGTTAGAAGAAAGGCAAACATAATGAGTATGCTTTGGACAGTTATTTTCTCTTTTTATTACTCTGGGTTTTTAACACCTAAGTCAGGTACATAGCTCAAGGCAGAATGATGTCTAAAGCATAACGTATCTGTACCCTTGCACACATACCTAGCATAGAACATGTTTCTTCATTCATTTTATTTCCTGTAACCTGTAACGGTCATGGCATCACTTAATGCCTTTTCTTTACCTCTTATCAAGGGCCTTCCAAAGTACTTTATTGGTTAGTTCTTAAAAAATTAATTTGTTTGCTACTACTTACCACAGTTTCTTAACAATTAATACTTTCTTGAGCATACCTTTTCCCCAAGACTGCGTGTGTCCTGGTGTATCAAACTCTGGTATAACTCTGATGCCTCTTAACCGGGCATACTCAATCACCAGACGGACATCAGCAGGAGTATAGATGAGATTAGAGGAGTATGCCCCCTGTAAAATATTCACATTTAGAGACAACACGTTATACCAGCAGATCACAAAATTTGGACGGAAGTATTTTAAACTCCAGTAGACTGGAGGGCAGTTTTACAAGTTGGCTGTGGTTTAGCAACTGCACAGACATAACTTTTCACTTAACTTGTGGAGAAGAAAAAACCCCACCAAAACAACAAACTCACAACACTGAGAGTGATCGTCTTAAGGAGACCTTCCTTTCGCCTTAGCTTGCAGTTACTGAAGAACACAGAAGAGCTAGTTTCTTCTCCTTCAGAATTTTTAAAGATACAGTTTTCAATTCGTCTGTACAGAGGCATGTTATTTTTGCCCATTAGCTCTGAAATGTAGGGCCCTTACTACGTAACATACAAGACTAATGGAAAAATTCTGCCAAGTCAGAAAGAACTTCCAGCATCTCTTCTTCTCCGTTTTGTGCGTGACTAATTTAGCTAGCATCAGGACGTGCTTCTTTTGTGACACTAAATTTGAGTGTAATTCCACTCCCACACAGCCAACAAATGCGACAATGACCCAGGTTACTACAGTTTGGTGAAACAGATGCTTGCCAAAGATGTTCTTCATGATAAATAGCACCTTAAGCTTCTGCTTATCCTAAAATTGATTCCACAGCTAAGTTACTCAAAAAAGGAAACAGCAGACAAGAAGCCTTTCTAAGAGAAGCTTGTTGAGTCAAAGACAATCTCCCTCTCTCTAGCTGTCAGTGGGATATATGACAGAACTCTACTAGTTTGCTTTTACCACAAAAAAATCATCTGACTGCACCATGTAACATCTACAATTTTTGAATTATAAAATTCTTCACAGCATCTGCTCTAGCACTGCCAACAGAATTTTCATGAGGATCAGATTCTAGCAAGCATTTTAAAATAGAATCACAAATCTTGTACTTAGGCTTAGTCTACTTAACTATTCTTTACTACATTTGATTTGGCTCCTACTGTACAGTGACTGAGCAAGAACCTCATGGTGGCTTTCACTAACGTAACAAAGCCTACTATGTGTCTGAAATAAAGAGACACATTCCACTGTATTTGCTTCAGTAAACAACCTTGCACTTTTGGATCTCTTACAGACATGGTGTGTTTTGTAAGGATAATATTACTATTGCAGAGGTGCTAAAAGCTGGCAGGAAAATCTCTTACATTTGTTTGAGTGGCAGAAGTCAACCAGTTAAAGAAACCCAGCAACAGAAATCCAAGCAGTGTTCACTACTTATCTGCATACCATTAGTGTTTGAAGGCCTGTAAACACTGAGGATCATTCAGAAAGGTTGCACAGAAGAGTAAAGGTAGTCATTTACCATGATGTATCCAAAAGAAGACGTAAAAATGGTCCGCATAGGAACTCACGCAGGATCCTAAATATGGACTTGCTGATTACTGGTCCCATGGTACTGTTTTCACAATCAGCCAGAAGTCCTCAAGTATTGGTTAACTCTGCATGTTATTTTCATTAAATATGTGCCAGATTTCTGCACTTCTACCCTGTTCCAATGATATTCACTCACCTTATCACTCAATTCAGGGAAATAAATGCTCTGGTAAGGGAAGGACTGATCATCTACTATATGCCAGTGGAGAACATTGAACTTATTAAAAGCCATGGCATCCTGTAACAAATAATGCAACAAAGTCTAGTTAAACACCTCATTCTCATAGAAAATCTGTGCAAAAAAAGTGGTCTTGTCCCAGCATATCCCAGATGCCTAGAGCAACAACTAAAAAAGAAGAAAACTTCAACCAAACCACTCAAAAACCAGCCAAAACCCACCAACCCCCCACAACAAACCAAAAAAGCATTCTATGTTTCACTAAATCCTAGAAGCACATACACCTACTGCTCCACGCCTCTGCAATCTATTTTCACCACTGCTGTTAACAAACTCTTAATTTGACCCCCACTCTACCAGCCTGTGTAATATGAACTGCTATGAACATTTATTAATTTCTTCCACTTCACAACACATACCCTGAGATTAACTCAAGTGCTACTAACACCAACGTTGCAGGCTTGACCCCCCATATGGACCATTCATTTAAAAGTTGGGCTTGATGATCCTTCTGGGTCCCTTCCAACACAGATGGTTCTGTGGGTAATTCTCTATGCACCATCAACTATTTCCAGCTTACAGAAAAGCCTACACTTTTATAACTAAATACCTTGGACTTGAAAACAGAACAGCATGAGAGTTTCCTACTACATAGTACATCCCTCCTCACTAGTGACTTCTGCAGAATCCATTTCAAATGCATGCAAGATAAACTGTTTTCCCTGCAAAAGACAGTTTCTTTTATGTTTTCATTGATAACAGTGTCAGTACTTCCCTTTTTTTCATCTTGAAGACGAGCAAGATCAATATTAACACACTTATTTTAGAATTTTGACTCCAGTTGGACAGTTGCACACATACCTTGAGTTATGCTGGTTCGTTAGTCGCTAGAAGGGTGTGCTGTGAGCAGACCAAGTAAGTGTTTACATCATTTATGACTGACAGCAACACAGCTGCTCCCAATCCCTTGCCACAATACAACTGTTTTTCCCACCCATTCCTCCCATTATTTTTTCACCTAGGTTTATTTAAAGAGGTGATAAAATCTCTTCAGGAACTCCCACCAAATACAAAGGAAGGTTTATATCTTATCCATTTCCTAGATTTATTTCATCTGTTTCATTACACTGCAGAAGTTTTAATTGCCATGTCTTCATGCACTTCTAACTAATGCCATCCTTCAACATAGCAAATTACATCTCTGGACCTTCAATTCACCTACTCCTTCCTCAAGAACAATGCTGTTCCTGGAAATACAGCACAGTAGTTGAACACAAACTGTGCTGTATTTTCAGGATAAATCTACCTGAACTGCTGCCCTAAGTATCTAATCGCCACACGTCAGAGAAGAGATTACAGATGCTTTTTATTAGTTGGGATTCAAGAAGGCACAGAGGTGGGAAAAAAAGCATACTTATTCTTAAACCAGCAGACATCATGAAATGTAGCTCTACATGATAATGTATTAGAGACAGACATGCAATTTAAGGAAAGAATGCAGAATAGCAGCAGTTACAGAAACACAAAGATAGTTAGAAATGCAAGTCTCTTTGGACATCTCTTTTAGACAAGACAAAAAATATTGCCACATATGAGGCTTTGAAGCACCCTCTGTCGCAAATGTAACACTACACAAGCATTACTTGCTGAACAAGCATTCACCTTGAATGCTAAAACAAGTAGTAAATACCTAAAGGACAAGTTCTGAGCACAGTTCAAGGATGACCTCAAAAATTAAAGACTGTTTATCTGCACTCTTTCTACCTATCCTATACCTATTTTTCAAAGTTCCACAATAAGGAGGGGCAATTTTGGGTATTATTTCACCTTGGAGAAGCAAGACAGAGACAAGATGGGAAACTGCCTGTTCCTCCACTTCAACAAATAATCCCTTCTACATGGACTTCAACAACAACAACAAAACAAAACAAAAAAAAAAGGTGCAAAAAACCCCATCTTTGGCTGCTAAGCTTATACAAATACATCACCTTTCCATCAGGGCTGGAGCACATTAATTCTTAATGTGCCTGCTTACACTTTTTGGAGGAAGTTTTGTTTGCTTTTATTGGTTAGTCTGGGCTTATTATTCAGTAGCTTCCCATTAACATTTTGAATTTCCTCCCTGGCTCTGTAATACTTAATTACCGGCTTGCACTTAGCAGCCTAAGGAAGAACTACCTAAGCCTGCTGCTGGACTACCAAAGTCTGCTCCAAAAGACTGGAGTTCTCCTGAAATCACTAGCATTGAAGCTAGAATTTGCAAGGTATGCCTTGTATTGCTTGACGACAGTCAGACGTCTCAAAACATGCTTCCAAGAAATAATGCATGAGCTGATTTAGGCATCAGAAAATACAGAGAAACCAAGGTACCACAAACACCACTCCCCTTTGGAGATTCAATAATCACTGTGTCTGCCCACTTGACTCCTCTCCAGTCTACATTCAGACCTTTACTTAGCAAAGTTCACTCTGACCTTTTAAAGTCAGACAGAAGAGACGGGTTCTTCTTTCATACCATCTCCAGTTGCTACCTGCTTCAGGAGCCAAAACACAACAAAAAGCCTTCATTATTAATGATATTAAACTACCTACTTACCAGGTTTGTAAGAATGGATTTCAATGGTAAATAATGCCTTGAAGTATCTAATAAGACTCCTCTATGAGCAAATCTTGGGAAGTCACTGATTTCAGATTCATTGACAAGAAACTATGAGAACAAAATTTAAAAATCAGAATTTCATATTAATTTCATATTCATAATTTCAAACAGGAAATACTTTTTCTTTTTCAGAAAATTGTTCTTGGAAATATGTAACAAACTGAAATGTTGCTGAATGAAACTGGTAGATCTGCCCTGTCTAGAGAAGCACCCAGTTACCAATACAGTGGATTTAACTAACAGCCATACTTACACTTCCATAGTCATCTTCATGAACCAATTGGCTGAAGGTTTCCAAACCTGGAAAAATATCCAAGAAAGATATCTCAATTACAGCCCAGTACTTGCCCTTAAAATTTTAGTTATGAACAGCACCACAACTATTTACAGACATTTGTGTAGCTAGAAAGAATGCTTTATAGCTGAATTTCTTTCTCATTAGCACAGTTCCCTTAATTGCTCAAACATCACAATTTAAAAAATTCTGGAGAGAGCCATTCAAATTCTCTATTATGCACAGATACTGAATACCTGTGCTACTGCTCAGCTGTAGCAAATTAATCCCCAAACAGTAAGAAAGTCACTGAGAGTAAGGTGGGAATCTCTGGTCTTGTTGTCCATCTATTCCTGTACTTTCTGGAACTGCGAAATTTCTAATTCAGCATGAAAAATCTGTTGATTTATAGGTAACTGACATATAAGCTTAACATTCAGTAAGAACAGCAGACTGAAACGTCAGGATTATTATTCTTTATGATGCGTTCAGCATGTCCACTTTCTAGGTGCAGTCAGAAAATAATCTGTTCACACTGTAGTTTAGAAAGCTTTTTGCTTGGCCTGGCTTATTTCAGGCATAGCAAGCATGTACTCAGAGTGTGCCACTGGATCTGAGATGCTGAGCATCTGGACCAAGGATCTAACTGATCCGTGTATCCTTATGGCCCGACTAAGCTTAGTTCCAATGAAGTACAGAATGAGGGCAAGGCTCTGTGGTTAGCTGGTTCTTTGTCTGCCATGAAGTTTGTATAAGCCTTAAAAAAATGGCTCAATGTGAAAAGCATCAGCTTACCTCTTAAAGCACCCCATACCTCAGAAGCTTTCAGTATAGCCACAGGTTCAGTTATAGTTAAATGGTCTAAAGAAAAAAAGAGAAAATGCTTACTCTTTAAAAAAGAATGAATTGCAAGAACATGCCAAAAGGTATTATAAAAGATTCTTCAAGTGTCACATCTCCTTTTGAGCATTAAATTCCAACCAATCCTGCTTTTAATGGTGATAGTATGTAATTATTTTCAATCTTGTTTTCCTAATATAAAGCAAACAACTGTTTGGAGAGTCAACAGCTCATCAGAAAGAAGATAAAAGAAGTAAGGTGCTTAGTAAGGGCAATGCTAAAATATTGTACATGAGCCAAAATTCCAGCAAAGTTTAACCCAACTGACTCAAAACGTAACACACTATATTTTTGCATTTAAGACATATGTGATAAAGGTTGGGTGGCTAAGCCAAACTTGTCATGATTATGAAAAGTTTACTTCTCCTTTTACCTTCCTTTTATATGTTTACGGTTATGGTTACATTTATTTTTTTTTAAAGATGTAAGTTGTCATATAATATTGTCAGGTGCTTACTATTAAGGTCTTACTCAAAAAAAAATTACTAATCAAAATACAGATTCACAGAATACGCTGAGTTGGAACGGATACATAAGGATCATCAAGTCCAACTTCTGGCCATGCACAGGACACCCTCAGGAAACACACCATGTGCCTAAATGCATTGCTCAAATGCCTCCTAAAATCTTTCAGGCTTGGTGCAGTGATCACTTCCCTGGGGAGCCTGTTCCAGTGTCCAGCCACAGCCTAGAGGAAGAAACCTTTTCCTGATATCCAGCCTAAACCTCCTCTACTCAGCTTTGTGCTGTTACCTCAAGTCCTGTCACTGGTCATGAGAGTGAAGAGGTCAGGACCTGCCCCTCAGCTTCCCCTTGTGAGGACCTCAGTGAGTGGTGCCTCAGTGTCCTCCAGGCTGAACAGATCAAGTGACCTCAGCTGCTCGTCATAGGGATTCCTCTCAAGGCCCCTCACATTCTTTGTAGCGCTCCTTTGGACACTCTCCAATGGTTGTGTATCTCACTTACACTGTGGCACCCAGAGCTGCCCCCAGCACTTGACGTGAGGCTGCTCCAGTGCAGAGCAGAGCAGGACAATCCCCCCCCCTGCCTGGCTGGCCATGCTGGGCCTGATGCACCTACAGGATGCCAGGTCACCCTCCTGATCTGAGCACCACTATGGGGGCAGTAAGATGAAGTATAGTAAGTAAAATAAAGAATGGTACCTGAAGGAATCCGTAACAATCATCCCTTGAGTACTGGAGTACAGTACAGTAGTAGTGAAAAAAAAAAGCTAAAATAATTTTGAATTTAAGGTGATTCAGTAAATTTTAGAGAACAAACAAATATATTTTAAGTATTTTTTAAAATCACATACATATATATGCATAAAAATATACAACAACTGTAGATTTATATTATTTTTCAAACATCAAAGCTATAATTGCACATCTGAAAAAGCAGGGAAAAAAACCAAAAGGTTGAATTACTGTACAATGACTTACGTGATACGTGTCAGTATGAAAGAATGGTTGGCTACAATTTACACAGTTCAAACATTTATCTAAACTACCAGAGAAAAGCCATTTAGTGACATGAAGAAAGTATCGCAAGCGTCCATGTTAACCTAAGAACTGATTACACATACTGGGTGTTTGGAGTAAGAAAAAAAACTTAGAAGGCTACTGCAATCTCCGCAGGTAAACTGTAGGGAAAATGTGATAAACTGTCAAAGATTTATTTCCAACACAGCAGAAAGTTTATTTGGGTTTTAGATTTTTTTTTTTTCCTGATACCTTAAAATGAACTTGGGCAGTTTTATAATAAGCTGCTTAAACACTTTACAAAAACAGGCAAGAAGTCAACAGGCAGGAGGGCAGATAACCTGTACTTTGATCACATATCCAATACTCTTGCCACAGGACAGTCACTGACTGGTCCATACTCTCTTTATTAACAAGCCAGACCACCCAAACAGCAAGTCACCCATAACAGCATTTTTCAGAATCTGAACCCTTAAAAACATAGCTCATTAAAAACCAGAAAATTAAAACTTATTGAAGCCTGGAATGCTCAGCTTATTATATGAAGAAAACACGTTATTTGTAACAGAAAACTTATTTCTTAAAGCAGAAGGAAAAAACTGCCTGCTCTAAAGAATGCAACCTAAAAATCACATGGTCTGAAAGATTCCATGACATAAAACAAGAACCAGCTTTGATTAAAATCTTAAGTTCACAAATAAGTTCAAATAATAATAAAGCAACACAATAACCTGACTGGCAGAACAATGTCAAGAGCGTTAGCATTTTTGCTGTGATATTTCATTTCCATTGAAATGTATTATAAGCTTGTGCATAAAAACCAAATGGCTGTAAGTCCCAAAAGGACTGAGTAAATTTAATATCAGTACATTCTGTCACAAGTCAGGTGGAATCAATCCTGCTGCAGATGTATGACTTGAGATTAAAAGGATCTTTTTTCTAGGGATCTGTATCCTGGAAACCAAACAACAGAAGATTATCTCAGAACAGGTCTACACTAACTGAACATGTGGATTTTTGTGTTAGCCTGCCCAGACAGAAAGAAATATTATTGCACAGTCTTATTTCTGTTAAGGAAATTCTCTGGCGATTAGTACTTTAATACTTAAGAGTACTTCTCCACTCTGAACTTTAGTCACAGAACTAAAAAAGCATAGAAAAATAAGTCCAATACAAACATCATGTTTTTAAATCCTTTCTTGTATCTACAGATAGAAAGTAAGTAGATTTATAGGACTGCAAGATGAATAACAAGTTCAACAAACACTTTCTGGTTTTCCTGGAAAAACAGGAAATACCATGTACATATCTCAGTGTAAGTAGCTTCAATTTAAATGCAGTCACTTCTTAGGAGATGGTAAGCAGCAACAGCCTTCACTCAATAAATACCCTGTACTGAAAGGGATCATCTCCTTACTATGCACAGATCTCTGGGCAAAGATAACTGGCTACTGCACACTATGGTATCTCTGATTCCTAATGCCAGCTGCTAGAAAAGATAGTAGCAGATAAGTGAGCTGCATGACAGCTCAACTGCAAAAATCATAGGCGACACGTGATAAGCTTCATGATTCACTGTGAGCTGAGATTTCTCATAGTATCAAGAGCAAGCATTATCTTCTGGTCGCCACTGTTGTGAAATGTCTTCGTGGGTTTCCGAGAGCCCGTGCTCTCCAGTTCCTTAAAGAAACCACCCCAAAACCTGCTGACTTCTACACGGGGCACGTGATAGGAAAACAGGCGCCTAACGGTGCTGCCTAAGCCGGGGAAGGAGGAGCGCGCCGAGCGGGTACTCACAGGCCTCGCTGGAGGCGAGGTGCGGGTGCCTGTCACAGCCAGGGTCCCCCGCCTCGATCACCACCTGCAGCTGGAACAGCTCGGGCTCCGCTCGGGCAGCCAGCGGCCTGCCCCACGTCCGCCGCCGGGAATGCCCGAACATGTACTCATAGTACCTGCCGGGGAATTAGAGGAGCCAGCGGGGCCCTGAGGCGGCTGCTCCCGTCCCCGGGCCGCCGCTGCAGCACCCCGGCCCCACCGCCGCTCACCTGCGGAAGGCGTCCTGCAGCAGCCCGCAGCCCGGCCCCGCCGAGGAGCCGGTGCCATGCACCAGCTGGAAGCGGCTGGGCGCTAGCTGCAGCTGGCGAGGATACGTGCGGACCCACTGCGGCAGCGGCCACAGCGAGTCCTCGGGGACGGCGTCTGCCGCCAGCTCCCAGCCGGACGGCTCCGGCTCGGCCTCGGTCCGCGGGGTGCCGTGGCGGAGGTTGGTGCTCACCAGCACGGCGGGGACTATGACGAGCCCCAGCAGGAGCCCAGCCAGCCCCATGGCTCTGCCCATACTGGGGAAGCTGCCTCAGCCCGCCTGTTCCACTGGCAGGGCAGCCAGACTCCGCCTCCGGCGCCACGGGGCGGGCTCGGGAGTCCCAGTGCCCGCCCGCGGCACCGCCCGCCCGGCGGCTTCCAGGCGAAGGGGCCCAAGGGGTACTTTGCTGGAGCAAGTACGTAGTTCATGCTCCTCTGAGGGGTTTTCTCACATAAAAAACCTATTAACTATTAGCGTTCCAAAGGAGAGCCACGAGGATGGTGAAAGGGTCCGCGTGAGAAGATGTATGAAGACCGGCTGAGGTCACTTGGTCAGTTCAATCTGTGGGAGACTGAGGGGAGACCTCATTGTGGTTTTCAGCACCCTCGTGAGGGAAAACAGGGGAGCAGGTGACAGGATTTGAGGTAACAGTATGCAGCTGAGTTACAAGACGTTCACGTTATTATCAGGAAAAGGTTCTTCACACAGGGGTGGCTGGGCACTGGAATAGGCTCCCCAGGGAAGTGGTCACAGCACCAGCCTGACAGAGTTCAAGAGGCATTTGAACAATGTTTTCAGGCACATGGTGTGATTCATGGGACTATCCTGTTCAGAGCTATGAGTTGGACTTCAATGATCCTGATGGGTCCCTTCCAGCTCAGCATATTCCATGACTTTCCATCAGCCAGCACCACCATGATGTCCTGCACATGGCACTGCTCTGCAGAATAAGAGAGTGTGGCAGGGTCAGCTTAATTTCTGTATGAAAGGGGTGTGATGCAGGCCACACTTTTACAAAGCAAAGATTCTGCATCTCTTGTACTGCTACAAAACAATTTCAGTCTCAGCAGAAACTACTTTTTCACAGGCTTTCTACAGAATGTATTACAAGATATATGGTGAACAAGCAAGAGATCGAGTTGCTGTGAAGTGTTTTAGCTTTTAAACAAACAAACCCAGTGTTTTGACCAATCTCAGTGCAAACTTGGGGAAGTTGTTCTGAAGTGTTTGTGAAGAAGGCAAATCAAACATTTCAAGACTTGAAGTCACAGTGGGGAGGAATTCAGGCTTCACGCCACTTCTAATTGAACTGAAGTGCTATCCTTGTTGCTTTGGCTGAGGCACCAGTTAAACCCACAGCAATGAACTGACACTTGCAGTCTGCTATTGCAGAATAACTGAGGAGCTGGTCAGCCAGCCTCAAGGGGATGGATCACAAAACATGGTAGTTTTGCCATTTGCTGCCCCAACCATGCAAGTGGAGTGGAAAGGCTTAGTGGAAAGTGTTTGATGCAGGCTATCCATAGCAGAATGTTATTTAATCTTGTAATGCTATGAGTAAAAGGAATTATTTATTTGGTGATTTCAAAGAGGCACAGCAGGACATGACACCTGCAAGCCTACCCTCCTGCTCCTGCATGGCCGAAGATGAAAATGGAAATGACAGTGCTGTCTTTTCTGGTGCTCTCAAGGGCAATTGTAACACTACTCTACAAGTAGTGGCAGGGGTTTCCAGCTGCCTGTTAAATATACCCTATATATCTTTCCTTTGTCTGGTGTGATTGTCTCCTCAACTGTGTTGATTCAACTGTTCCTGCTGTCTACCTCTGTTCATCTTTTTAGACATACTTAGATATTATGGGTTATTTCATAGTTTCCTTTGACATATCTTGATCAGTAAGCTCTCAGGGAAGGAAGGGTTAAGGATAATTAGCTGCAGTGAAGGGAGCCTGTAAGATACTGAACTGAATCTTCTGTTTACTGGAAAGTGTTAACCAGCCTGGCCACTGCTAAGGTAATCCTCAGACACACTGAGAATTTTTTCTCTCAGTTATTTTCAGTGGCTGTTATCTGCTGTAGAGCAAGTCTGTTTTATACCAATGAAGTGCACCTATTCATTAGTCATCTAATAAATATTCACTGAAGAATTTGTTATAATCACTCTTTAAAATACTTATTCTGTGCACAAAATAAGAATTAAATGAAGTTTGCTTTTTTTATCTTCTCTGGGTAGATTTTCTGATGCTGAATAAAGAGATCAGGTAGTCTTTCCTTGTGTAAGTCCATGAATATAGTTTCTTTCTTTTACCCATTACACCCACTAGTATACTGCACAAAATTGTAAAAACTTGGTATCTTGGCCTCTGGGATTTAACAATTACTGGGTGGAGTACTCAGACATAAACATGCTATTCTCATTTTCTGAGGAAACCTTGCTGTCGAGTCTTTGGTTACCACAAACAATCTAAGTCTGCCTTGGCATTTTCAGACACTTAGGTTTGAAGTATTATGATGTAACGAAGTTTTATGTTGCATCTTAGGACTGGTTCTAAGCTCACGGTAGAGGATAAGCAGGATGCAAAGAATTGAAGAGTATTGGACTACAGGCTGTAGTTGTTCTCTTCAGGGACCAGGTGATTTCAGAGAGATTTCCACTGAACACAGCAGAATGATGAAACTGCAGAGCTAGGACTGTAATTGTTTCCAGCATTGTGCACAATCAGAGAAGACATCAGTGTGCTTCATGCTCTTAAAAAAAAAAAAAAAAAAAAAAAAAAAAAAAAAAAAGAGAGCTCCAGTATCAACTCAAAATCTTTAAGTTGAAAATCCACCATACTTTATTCTTAGCCTGTTCTGTAAGTTTGATGTGCTTTTGAGAGGAATAGATTTTGATATTTCTTTATTGTTGATGTTTGCCTATATTGTAAACTGTGTTAGACTGGAAATGTACTCTTATCTAGGCTTGTAAAGACTTACATGGTTTTATAGGTTATATACACCCATTGAATGAGCACTAAAGTACTATTTTGCATTTTTGTGGAAAAATTGAAAAGTGCAGTCATGAGTGATTCTGATCATGAGCTTTAACCCCATAGATCTACCAGAGATGTGTTTTCCATTCCCCAAGGTAAAAGTTATGTGTCATTTAGTTGCAGACTAATCCTTTCTGAAAAGCGGAAGAAAATTGCTACAGTAAAAAAACATGGTAAATGTAGCTGAGCTTGACTCCTACAACAGAATTGTACAGATTCCTTCAGACACATTCCTGTGTTAAGTAGGAATTAAAAAAAAAAAAAAAAAAAAAAAAAAAAAAAAAAAAAAAAAACAAGGGTTTTGGACATTAGGAATCTCAAAAGTTCACCTTGCTAACCAAAATGGTGGAATTGGGCTGCACACCAATAACTTTTACAGAATGAAGGTCTTCCATTTATGTAGCTCAGTTCTTGCAGTTATTCTGAGGCTATAGCAATCACTTCAAAGTGGTAGGACATCTCTCATCAGTGTTTCCTGTTGTACCAAGAAATGTTCCATACAGTTTCTGCTGTTGACTCCGCTAAAGAAATGTACCATACAGTCTCTGCTGTTGATTTCTTATTTGAGAAATAACGAGGTGGCATAGAGGAAACAGTGACTTACCACCACTGAGTAATATTTTGTGGCCACTGTAGTCTGGTCAACATATGGGCATGTTACTACCCAGTAGACTAGGGTGTGAATTGAGACCTGACTGGGAATTGCACATCAGTGTCTCACAAAGACATTTTTGGAGTATGTTAAAGGTTCATCAATTAAATTTTAAAAGACATTCACACTGATAGTGAAAAATATGACACCCATTTCTTGGAAACCAGGTGATATTTTATTTGCTGCTTTGCCAAGCTAAGCTAAATTCTTAAGTTACCTGAAACTGACAGATCACAAGTAAGTGTTTTTTTTTACCATGGTTGTAGTAAGTTCTGCTGTTCCACTATCTGAATAGTGGAACATATGAGCAGTACATATCTTTTGCAGATGGGACTGAATCTTTCCATGCAGTTGATTACTTGCTAGATACATAACATAGGGTACCTCAGATTAAGGTCTTGCCTACAAGTGGGTGTTGTGACTGAATAAAGCAGGATGATAATTTCATATTACGTATAGCTGCTGACAATAATTTTGTATAGGGAAAGATTGTAAAGATTCTGCAGTTTGGAAATGTAATAAACTTCTAGAAGGAAGTCACTTGCAGCACTGTAAATTCCTAATCTAGCTTGCACACAGTTTTCTGTATGGTTATTGTATGTCCACATTTTCCCAAATATATGTTCTTTTTCATCCTGGCCACTTTGTATAGATATCTTTTCATGGATGTCTTTTATATTATCAGGAGTATCCAGGCAATAATTACATCTAGAAGGCTGGAAGCCCTGACAGCCTAGAGATCCTGTGTGTGACCAATGAGTGCTTGGAAGATGGGTTTAGAACTGTCTGACTTTAAGTATGTGTGTTGGCTGAAGAGAATTTCCAAATGGAAGATAATACATGGGCTGTCTGTGAGCTACATGCTGGGAATGTTGGTATTGATGTTGACATACATAATTAGGGACAAGAACTAATGAAAACAGGATGTTTAAATGATGTAACTTCAAGGAAACTCACAGGCTGAAAATATTTCAAACAATAGCAAGGACAGTTTGTGAATGGATGCACATTGCAGATGCATGATTAGTGTAAGTAGGTGAACCAGCTAGAAAGCAAACTGTGGATGCATATATATGATACACACACTTTTTTTTTTGTAAAGGGAGTTGCGGTTTAAGCTGCCAGCCTCATTGTGTGCTACTGTCTGACCACTTGTAGTCTTTGTTATGTTGTTCGGACAGAAAGAAAACGGAATGATTCTAGTACTGGATCAGGTCTGTGGCTTCAATGCCTAAGCACCTAGAAAGTGTGAAAAACATGATGGGAGAAAGTGCTAACTTATGCCAGGTACAGAAAGTTCTAGGCTACTGGGTGGCTATAAAACTCCTCATGGTCTCTTGTTGATTTTTTTTCTTTTTGTTTCACAGCTGTCTGGGAATTGGAATTCTGTGAAAGTGAGGTCTATAGCAGTGCTGCCTCTGGACTCAGGCACTTCAGACTTATGGAGCCTCCTCTTCTCATAGAGATACGCTGCTTGCAAATAGATTGCTCTGGGGTCTTTGGTTTCATCAGCACTGTTTCTTTGGTCTGCATCAATTGCAATGAGATATCAGAGGGAGAAGAAGGCTGAGTAAAGCCTTTTGTACAGTCTTTTTTGAGTAATGATTTGTGC